TTTTTTTAATATATTAATTAATAAAATAATAATTATTTTAACTTATATTAGTTTTAAATTTAAAGAATTAAAATAATAATATAAATAAAAACTTTATTTTAAATATATTTTTAAAATAAGTTTAAAATTATATAAACCTAAACTAACCTTATTTTAATAATAATTTATATTTAAAGCCTTATAAGTTTATTTAACTTTAATATAGAAATAAAAACCTAATTATTAACTAAATAGACTTAAAAATTATTTATAAAAAGATAATAGATTTTTAAAAAGAAATAGTAATTATAATTAAAAAGAAATAAAAGAATATTAGTCTAATCTAAATCTAGATTAATATTATTATAAATTTTAAACTTTTTTTAAAAGCTTAAAGAATAATTAAAATAAAAGTAATAAAATTAAAAGCTATTTATAATTAATATACTTTTAAGAATATTCTTAAGGAATTAAAGGTTATTATTATTTTAAATTCTAAAAAAGTAAAATAAAAAGTAAAAAGAAAATATAAATAAATTATAACTATTAAAAAAATAATATTAAATAGACTAAGTTAAATCTAAATATAAAAAAAGTATATTAAATATTATTATTTTATTATATTCTTAATATAGAAAGATTAATAGCTATTATTAAATTCTTAAATATAATTAAAAAGAAAATAATATTTAAATAAGTTATATTCTTAAAAAAAGATTTTATTAATATAAGTATTAAGATTATTATCTTAAGTAAATAATAATTATAAGATTATAAGTATAAAGTATTTATAAAGATATTTTATAAAAATAGTTATATAATAATAATTCTTAATTAATTAATAAAGTAAATTATAAAAAAAAAGACTATAATTAAATATATAAATAAGTAATACCTTAAATATTACTAAGAAATTATAAAAATAAAGAAATAAATAGTAATTATATATATTAATATTACTATAGTATAATAATATATATAGTAAACTAGCTATTTTATTAATCTTTCTATAAGTATAATAGTATATTATAATATATTAGTATTTAAGTATAAGTCTATTAAGTATATTCTCTATTTAATCTACTATACTTTTATATTAGCTATATACCCTACCTTACTTTAGTAGTTTAATATAATACTAAATATTATTTTATAATATACTAAAATAGTAAGTAGTTATTAGGGTATAGAAGCTAGGGGTATAGTAGCTAGGAGGGGAGTATTAAGACTAATAGGGTATATATAGGGTAAGAGGTAAAGTTATTATATTATATAACTCCTATCTAGTTATATAGTATAGGTAAGTGCTAAATATACTAGGTAATAAAAGATTGTTCTTCTAGCTTCTAAGCTACTTATTATTAGGGAGGCATTATAAAGGGTTATATATAGGGGAGATACTATATAGAGGTAAGCTGCTAATAAGCTAGTAGGGAGGAGGTAATAGTAATTCTATTATTATTACCTACCCTACCCTAGATTATACTATAACTAAAGTACTTTACTATTTAAATAACCTTATAGAATTACTATTACTACCTAGTATCTAGGAAGTATAGACTATTTATAATACTATAACTAAATACTCTATAATAACCTTATAAATAAGTAATAAAATACTATAAAATAGTATATAGTTAATATTACCTTTCTAACTAAAGACCTATATAAGTATAGTAAGTATAGCTATTAGTATAATAAATATAGAAGAGATATAAGCTAAGGTTATAACTATAGTAAAAGAGTAAAAAAAGACTAATCTTATAATAATTATTAAAAAAATAATAAGTAGTTAAGATATTTAAATTATAATAAAGCTAGAAAGCCTAATTAAGGAACTTCTATATAGAAAGTAGGTAGTAACTATAAAGCTATTTAGTATATTCTTTATAAGGAAGTTATTTTAAGAATATACTAATTTTATAATAACCTTAAAAATATACTTTTAAGTATATATAAAAGACTACCTTCTTAACTATAAGAAAGTTATATATATAGCCTAATACCTATAAAGTAAAGTATAGATATAATAGTTTTACTATTTTATAATAAACTTATTAAGAGATTATAAGGAATTCTCTTAAAAGAGCTTTAATAACTAATATAAAGAAGAGTTAAGTAACTTAAATATATAGGTATAGTAAATAATATATAAATTAATTTATTATAAGTATAACCTAAATAAGCTAGTAAGGAACTACCTTTATTATATAGAAAATATAGTAATAAAACTACTAGACTTACTACCCTTTAGTTTTTAAATTACCTTTACCTTAAAGGGGCTAAATAGCTAAGTCTAAACTACCTTAAGTAGTAATAGTATACCTACTATATAAAAAGAGCTAGAAAGCTATATAGAGAATATAGAAAAGATACTTAAGCTAGCCTTACTTAAACTAGAATTAGGCTAGTAGCTATACCTAATACCTTTAAGTATAGAGGATATAGAGATACTATAATCTACTAAGGAGTTCTTTAGCTATTTTAAGTATAAAGGAAACTACTTATAGAAGGAATATACTATAAAAAACTATATTATATATAAAGAAGCTAGCTATATAACTATAAGGTACTAAGACTAAGGCTTAAAGGTAGCTAAGGTAAAGTAAATAGCTATTAATAAGCTTTTAATAATAAAGCTAAATAATAGCCTAATAAAAAATAAGTAAATTAAGAAGCTTACTTAAGATAAGGTATACTATTATATATACCTTAAATATAAGTAAATAATAAGAATATATATAAAATATAGCTAAAAAGATATAATAGTATTACTAGATAGTAAAAGTAATTTAAACCTATTAAATAAAAGTCTAATAAAGGGGGTAGAAGTTTATAGCTTATATATACTAATTATACTAATATACTTAATAATATATAAAATAGTATAGGTAAGCTAGGAAATAATAAAAATACTATAGGTAGTTAATAACTTAGGCTATATAAAGTAGATATAAGTTCTTTTTTTAATAGTTATAACTTTAAAAAAGGTTATTTTAAGGTAATAATAGTTATTAAAAGAATAGGTATTAATCTATAAAAGGATAAATTACTAAAACTATACTATAATATAGTAAAGTATAGAGATTATTATAAGTATATAGAGGGTTTATAGAGTAGTAAAGAATATATAATTTATAATAGTAATTACTAATTAAAGACTAGAAAAAGAAATAATACTAGATAAGATTAAAATAAAGCTATTAAGAAAGTATTATAACTTTACTATACTCTTCTTACTATAAAAGGTAGCTAGGATATTACCTTTAGATAGACTAAGATATATAATTAAAATAGAAAATAGTAAAATACCCTTATAAAGACCTATCTACTTACTAGTAGTAAGGAAGCTAGTAGAACTATAAACCTTTATTAATAAAGAACTAAAGTAGGGGTAGATAAGAAGATTAATAAGCTCTATAAGAGTACCTATTTTATTTATACTAAAGAAAGGGGGAAAGCTATACTTCTATATAGATTATTAAGGCTTAAACTAGATTATAAAAAAGAATAAGGTATTACTACCCCTAATTATAAAGATCCTAAACTAATTATAAGGTATATAGGTCTATATAAAACTAGATATAAAGGATATATATAGGCAACTAAGGATATATAAAGGTAATAAGTAAAAGATAGCCTTTTACTATAGGTTTAGATACTTTTAATAATAGGTAGCTCTAAAGCCAGAAGAACAATCTCCTATTACCTAGTATATCTAGTACTTACCTATATTATATAACTAGATAGAAGTTATATAATATAATAACTTTACCTCTTACCCTATATATACCCTATTAGTCTTAATAGGTTATAAGCCTAGTAATACTTATATTATAAAAGCTATTAATAAAATAAAGGAAAGTATTAATTTCTTACTAAATTTACCTACTATTATTAAGGACTAGCCCTAGGGTATCTATAAATAGGCATTATAATAGTATTAACTCTCTTATAGAGTAAGAGAGGAGGAAAAGCTGGTTTATCTATCTACTCTAGTATATAAAGGGGGCACGCTAGGGGT